TATATAGAACTAAACACTATTTTATATTTGACAGTATTTTCATATAATTTTAACATGTCAGGAAGTCTAATCTGTCTCTCTCAGACATCCAAGGGCCCTGTTAAGAATGTTTAAAAATTAGTTTAAGTGAAAAACTGTTTAAAAATTAGTTTAAGGTAAAAACTTAAACTGGAACTGAAATTTGACGTGAGATGTCTGGCAAATATCAAAGGTTTACAACACTTAATTAAAGCAGGATTAGGGCACTGCGGCTATCTGTTGTTTACTTAACTAAAGTGACAATTAAAAATTTTAAGCTATTGCCATAAAAATGTGCTCTCTAATGGATTAGAATTAGACTTTTTGGCTATAGAAGGTAGATAACCTGATTAAGACAGCATAAGTCACACAGAATTTTTTTTCTTATACTTAGAAGTTTTTTTAAAAAAAACTTTACTTATTTTTGTTATTATTATATAAAATTAAAACAAATTTTAGTCTTTAACAGAGCTTTGGATAAGTTTAGTCAATTTAGGTAGTTTCACCTTAAGATTTTACATTTTCTTTTTCTCAACTTTTTATACTTAGTTTTATCTATATTTTTTTATTCACTTACTCTAAAACAAATTTTAGATATCTCCACATTAGACAACCCTCTTGAAGAAAACACACCCTCACATCTATTTTTATTTCCTGTTTACCAAAAAAAAAATCTTAATTTTCACTGAATATTTTGAGTACATAATTATTTCTCTAATTTTTAGCTTTGGTTATTATTATCTTGAAATTTTAACATTCATTTTATAATATTTAGAAATTTTTTTATAATGCAAGTTAACAGAGCAAATTACATTTCAGACTTATGCCATATAAAACATGGTGTCAAAGTATATATAACACTTAAACTTAGAAATAACTCAGGCAATTTATTATTATAATTTAACATACCACGCCTTTAACATTTAAACTATGTAGAAAAATGTAAAAATGATGACAAATTTAATTACATTTACTCTATTTACATTTACCCAATTTGTTTTTAACCATTATATTTGAGTTGCTTATGAAAAAACAAGGCTATTTATTTAAGGTATTTTACTTTGAAGTAAAGGAAAACCAACCTAACCTTATATCACCTAGTCTCATCTTATCTAAAGACTGAATTTCCAGACATAAGAGAGTTTTTCTTTTTTTTAATTTTTCTGTAACCTAACTGTCCATGTAGCACTAAGAATGGCCATTGAAGACAGAGGCCATTTAGGCCCTTGATTCACATGCTAACAGTTCTGAAGACATTTTGGTTTATATTTAACAATTTTAAATCAGCTTTAAAGATTTTTACACAAGTCATGTAAACTTGAATCACATTTGAGCATATTTTAACCTGTAAGCGCACATTTAAATAAACTTGGTACCACATACAAGCAAACATATACATAAACACGATATACCACACATATGTGTACACACATATAATACAGAGTCAAAGAATTATAGCTTTTATCTTAGAATCTTAGCCAAGAGACTATAAAACTCAATAGTTTGAAAGTACAATATGAGTCCAACTGCATTACTATCTGGAACAAGTTAGTTTATTTTCACATATGGCTCAAGTCTTTTATTCAATTCTGGAAGGCAGATTAGGAAATCTGCACTTTAAAGACAAAGAATACTGACCAAAATAAATACTAAGGGAACATAAATTGTAGAAATTCTTTGTACTATTTTACTAAGTATGCAGATAGTGTAGGAACTACTTAACACATATACTTAGATTAGACAGGTGACTAACGGAAGAGTTTCTTGATTTATTTAGGAAGTTACTTCTCTTTAATAAATTGCCATTTGCTGTCAGTTTGTCTGACTGAATCAGACATTTAAGACTTGTTCCTAACGAAAGCATGTAAAGAAAACAAAAAATAAAGAAAACCAATTTTATATGGTAATTAGCATATAACCAAAGATCAAATTTCCACTCATTGTATAGACATATTGGTATTCCAAAAGCTAAAGTGATCAATGAGTTTAATGTAAAAGAGTACAGGCTCCAGACCAGAGAGAAAACACATAAAAATAATAAAGTCCTAAAGAACTAATTGCAGTTAGCGAGAGATTCAAGGAAAAAGGGTTCGGCTGATTGAAATGGGGCCATATAAAAATAGGATCCAAGAAACAGAAGCTTCACAAATGGATGGCCAGCAAATCAGTTTCTAGTTAGGCTGACTTATCTGTAAGAACTCTTTAAGAAAATTCGTTTTATATCTATCACATGAGTTTTTAGCCAGGCAAACATATTTAAATGTACACACACAAATGTGTGCACATACATATACACACACACTTTTACCAGGTTTTGAATATAGAATAGAATTTAAACCAAGTTATAACTGAACTAAGAAAACAAGATTTAAATTACTCCCAAAGATAGGGGAAAGAACAGATTAGAGTCCTCTTGTGAGCAGAGGTTGCTCAGTGACTGACCTAGACCCAAAACAAAGGCTTTTTCCAGGCAGCACCATTTTCCAGGAAAAGGATAAGATAATGGCTTTCATAGCCTAAAGTTTCTAGACAAAGAATCTCCTTACCTTTACACCCACTCCAAAATTAGGAAAGTAATTGGACTCACCCAGTATGTATCCCTCTCCACTAGGAGGGGCAGAAGCTCCACCTCAAACAGGTCTGGACTAAGCCCTTTCTGTCCTAAAGAAAAACTCCTTATCATAATTTTTCCTTGGCAATCCACTTTTGGGAAGTTCTCCCTTTTTGGGAGTTCAATAAACTCCCCACTTTGCCACAGGTACTCTTCTCTATCTGTGACTAATTCTTCCTGAGTGTGGGACAAGAAAATGTGTCTCACTGCAAGTGAGGGCCTGATCACTCCTGTGCCCCTCGTTCCTGCATCACTGGGACTGTGTTCTGACCTCCTTAGGACAAATGACACAGAATTAGAGACCATATCTAGGCGGGAAGAAACAGGCAGAGTACTCATGCCAGAAAAACACTATGGGGACCAGCAAATGGCACAATGGCTACATAGATAGACTCTCACATGGGCCACCTCGGTTCCAGTTAGCTTCAAAATCCCACTGGGTGTGTGTGCATGCACACCCCAGATCCCAAGAAGAGAAAAGAGAAGGGATTCAGCATGGCCATTCCCCTGGGGGGAGATATTCCATACTATCTCTGTCTCTCTCTCCAGAGAGTGCATGCTCCCTTAAGGCAAAACCTCTCAGAAAAGAAAAAATGAAAAGAAAAAAACACTATGATCACTATACCTGGGGGACTATTTTATACAAATCCTTTTCTCACCCTTTTTGTCTTAAAGAAAAACTCTTTATCACAATTCTTCCTTGGCAATCCACTTTTGGGAAGTTCTCCCTTTTTGGGAGTTCAATAAACTCCCCACTTTGCCACAGCTACTCTTCTGTGTCTGTGACTAATTCTTCCTGAGTGTGGGATAAGAACATGTGTCTCACTGCAAGTGAGGGACTGATCACTCCTGTGCCCCTCGTTCCTACATCACTGGGCCTGTGTTCTGACCTCCTTAGGACAAATGACACAGAAATAGAGACCATATCTAGGTGGGAAGAAACAGGCAGAGTACTCATGCCAGGAAAACACTATGGGGACCAGCAAATGGCACAAAGGCTACATAGATAGACTCTCACATGGCCCACCGCTGTTCGAGTCAGCTTTAAAATCCCGCTGGGTGCATGTGTATGCACACCCCAAATCACAAGAAGAGAATAGAGAAGGGATTCAGCATGACCATCCCCCCATGGGAGGTTATTCTGTACTGTCTCTGTCTCTTTCTCTCTTTCTCCAGAGAGTACACATGCCTTAAGGCAAAACACCTCTCAGAAAAATATGAAAAGAAAAAACACTATGATCACTATACCCGGGGGACTATTTCATACAAATCCTTTTCTCCCACTAATCTTCATCTAGAAAAGAAACTAAACAGTTATCTTTACCATCTATTGAACTGAATTTCACAGAGAACAGGAGTGACTGCTAAGACATTCTTCCATTTTTGCTGACTTGTCAGGTCCTAAGTTCTCTTGGCTGTGACTTTGGAAAGAGCAGAGCAGCTTTGGTTTACTCTACACACCACTCTAAATCTATGGTAGCCACGTGCCCTAAGGTTTACTGAAAAATCACTGAATCTATGGTAGCTACCTGCCCTAAGGTTTACTGAAAAATCACTGACACAGGAAAAGGAAAGGCACGCAGAGATAGAGGAAAAGGCACACAGACATTTAAGTTACACCGTCCACATGGGACCCACAAACTGCTCCTTTAAGAAAAGCCAATCTACTGGAAGTTGTACACTCAAGGGCAAAGGAGGTCTGGAGTTATGTTAAAAAAGGGGTGGGGGGAGAGAATGCAAAGAACCTAGCCTTTCTAAGCCAGAGTCATACTTTTAATTTCTTTCCCCCATTTTAAAGACTATTAACATCTGCTGTTGACTCTACTGATATAAATGAATTTACATTTTTTTCACAGAGGGTTAGTGAGCAGACCCTCTAACTAAAATTTTAAGCATGTTATTTTTAATTTTCCCACAAATTCATTAGAAAGTTACTTACCTAATGTAAACACTCATTCTTTGTCCCCTGTTCCCTGGATCCTAGAGAACACTGGGGCCAGATAATGTTATAAGAGTTATCTTTATTTAGAATGATAGTTCAAAGTCCCAGTTCTACAAAATATACCCTAAGAGCTACAAGATGGAATAGAGCTCTTTTTCAGTTTCCTGTAATGATGTCCTATTCACGGCCGGTTTAAACAAAACATAAAATCAAATGTACAAGTTACTAAATTTCCAAATGGTCTCTCAAGGCTTCTTGACCCTGTATCCAAAGGGGGAGATCACACCAAACAAACATCCTGTCAAAGCAGAAACCAAGCGTCTAAAGGGAGGCTTATAGCTACTCTTTAGCTAAACGGAGGAAAACCCACCAAAGATCTACAGGGAAAGACAGGCCTTGGTGTCGTCACACATGAGTCGCGCAACTTACCAGACGTCTATCAACTCCAATCCAATGCCGTGTTTCCTTCACCACAAAACTAAAATCGCTGTGGGTCAACGGCGCCTGGTCGGCGGCCAATAACCCAGCACTGTCCCTGAGACAAGGTGCTCAGGCAGCTGCAGGACAAGTTCTGAGGGTGGCCATTGGCCAAGGGTCGCTGTACCTTGGGCGAGACGCCCACGCAGGACCTTA